TGGGGATTCGAACCCGCCACCTTAGGTGTACGTGGCTGGCGCCTTAGCTGGTTGAGCTATAGGCGCCGAGCCAAGAGAATCTCTTAAGCCCAAGAGTTTGAGGTTGCTGTGGGCTGTGATGCTATGGCACTCTATTAAAGGTGACATAGTGAGACTCTTGTTTCAAAAAAAAAAAAAGAAGAAGAAAGCTATAAATGTAAGAGTATAAACATAATTAACTTTTAACAGTTAAAAACAAAAGAGGACACAGTATACAATTCCATTTATAGAAAGTTCAACTACAAGCAAAACTAATATTTGGTGACAGAAATAATAATAATGATCATCTTCAGGGAATAATAACAGAGTAGGGTCACAAGGTACCTCAGAGATACCAGAAGTGTTTTAAATCCCAATTTAGGTGATAGTTCTGTGGTAGGTTCACTTTGTGAAGATTCACTGAACTGCACATTTATGATATGTACACTTGTGTATGACACACTTTATCCAAAAGGTTTACTTAAAAACGAAATCAAAGGAAGGTGCTATCAATTGTCTATGGTACAAAATGGAAGCTCATTTCTAGCTCTTTTCCCTACCCACACATGGAACCAGCCTTCTCAGAAAACTAGCACAAAAACGACCCGCCTTCAAATGAGAATTCTGCCAGAATCAGCAAAAGCCTCTAGATCTAACCAGTTTACAGGGGGAAAAAAAAAAAGAACCAAAAGTACATGGTAAATGGCACTACAAGAGTACAGCCAGCAAAACCCAGAACATGTGAAATTCTATCGGATAAATGATTTGGTTTGACGAACAAATAAATTGCAGTGGCCATCCTTCGGTTCTTTCTTTGGGATTCCCGTCCTCCCCCTCATAGTCCCTTCTCTGTCATCTCTTCCCCCTACTCTCTTCCCTCTAATATAAAATAAACTTACTTTTATATCCTAAAAAACCCCAAATAAATTGCAAAGAAAAAAGGAGAAGTGAGACTCTATGTAGAAATTTAAGACACTTATCAACCAAATACAATGTACATGCATTGTTTTTCTTGAACCCTGATTAAAGCAAATTATAAAACATTGATGGAACTTTAGAAATTTGAATGTTAATGGATGTCAATTTTAGATATAAAATTAGTATTTTATTATATCTTTTAAAAAAGAATACTTACATTTTATTTATTTTTTGAGACAGAATCTCACTTTGTCACCCTAGGTAAAGTGCCATGGTGTCACAGCTCACAGCAACCTCAAACTCTTGGGCTCAAGTGATTCTCTTGCCTCAGCCTCCTAAGTAGCCTAGACTATAGACGTCTGTGACACCTGTGTATTTGTACAGACGAGGTCTCATTCTGGCTCAGGTTGTTCTCGAACTGTGAGCTCAGGTCATTTACCCGCCTTGGCCTCCCAGAGTGCTGGGATTATAGGCATGAGCCACCATGTCTGGCCTTATTTAATTTTTTTTTTTTTTTGAAGTGGGATCTTGCTCTGTCATTCCAGCTAGGGTACAGTGGCACAATCATAGCTCACCTAAGCCTCCAACATCTGGGCTCAGGAATCCTCCTGTATCAGCTTTCCAGGTAGCTAGACCTATGCCACCATGCCAGCTGATTTTTTATTTTTTTGAGACAGAGTCTCACTTTGTCACCCTGGGTGGAGTGCCATGGCATGAGCTCACAGCAACCTCAGTCTCCTGGGCTCAAGCAGTCCTCTTGCCTCAGCCTCCTAATAGTTGGGACTATAGGTACCTGCCACAATGCCTGGCTATTTTTAGAGATAGTCTTGCTCTTGCTCAGGCTGGTCTCAAATTCCTGAGCTCAGGCAATCCACCTGCTTTGGCTTCCCAGAGTGCTAGGATTATAGGCATGAGCCACTACACCTGGCCTTGATTTTTTATTTTTTTAGAGATGGGGTCTTATTATGATGTCCTGGCAGGTCTTGAACTCCTAGCCTCAAGTGATCCTCTAGCTTCAGCCTCCCAAAGTGCTGGGATTAGAGGCATAAGCCTCCATGCCCAGCCAGAGCCCTCACATTTTAGATACGTATTAAAATATTTATGGATGTGATGACATAGTATCTAGGATTTGATTGAAAATAATTGCTTATGAGTTAAGAACTACTGAAACTAGTTATATGACGGTTCACTACTTACCTTACTTTTGGTAAGGTAATTTCTTACTTTTGTATATTGTTTGAAATTTTTCTATGATAAAAAGTTAAAAAAGAGAGAGACTATGAGAATTTCCTAAATGTGTGTTCCCTGGGTGACATAATCAACTCCCAGGAGACATCAGCCTATATGCCTCTAACTGAACCTGAAAACAAAAAAAGCACTCCCCAGAGGTAAAAAAAGAACAAGAAGATGAAGGACAGAGCCTGACTAGGGTCTCAGCTAGGCAGCAGGAATGCCTTCTTTAAGCCAATGCCTAAGCTATGGAGTCACATATCCTTGGTTTAAGTGCTGCCTCCATTAACTAACAGCTGTGTGACCTTCACTGTGCCTCTGTTTACTCACCTGTAAAACAGGGATAACACTACTAACCTCAAAGGTTCTTGTGAGGATTACATGTTAATGTAATCCTTGCACAGAGTAAGTACTAACCAAACGTCAGTGCATGTTAACACTATTGCCTGAGCTTCCAGATAATCTGTGGCAGAGTGCATGTGGGGGTAAAAGAGGATCATGGAAATGGAGAGTGGGATTTCTATCCTGGAAGGGCTTGGGGCACTGTCTCGACCATTTGCAGCATACCAACCAACAAGAAGGCTCCGACTGCTGCTGTCAGTACTATTTTTATCTCCAGCCTCAGGGATTGTGCTGAAGGGTGGGGAGCACAGGGCTTCTCCATGTGGCAGCCCTAGCAGGACCTTCCCTCAGAAATGGGGTTCAATGCACTGGGTGTCCACAGACATACTCAGTGCAAAGTGGATTTCTTTAGGTGGGGCAGGTGGCCCTGTCCACAGGCCTGTCACCAACCTGTGCTGGACACGGTTTCAGAGGGCTGAAAGATGGTAGTGGAGGAGGACGGGGGGGACGCTGTGGAAGAACTGGCAGACTCCTTTGCTTCTAGCTCTGCCACAGGCAGCAGCAGGTTCTGCGCCAGGTGGGTGGGGCTGGCAGGGATGCCATTCTCTAGCAGGAACTCGTCCAGGTCCATGTACTCCAGGTGGAAAGACTCGCCGTCATACGGGATAGTCTTGTCCCAGATGGGTGGCATGAGGGAGGCTGAGACGGCCATGGTGCTGGCGGCTGCTGCCTCATCCTCCTCCAGTTTTTCCTTCCCCTTTTCCTTATCTGCAGACACAAAAACTGTGATGAGACATCACACAAGAGGTAACTCAATTGTACAAGGTAGGCAATGAGCCTCACAGGCCTGACCCAGCTTTTTCAGAGCCCTGATTCCATCCCATGCATTTCAAGAGCCTACTCTATTCTGCTGCCTTTCTTCTTTAGAGATGGCATCATGCCCTTGTCCATGCCTGGCTTTCCCATCATGCTCACCACATGCTCTGTGGCCTGACATGTCACAGGGTTTATTCATAACAGGCTGCAGGGTCAGCATCTGCAGGAGACACTATAAGGGAAGTGGAATTTCTGGCCTTTCCTGATATCTTAGCACAGAAAGGGCTGAGAATTTTAGGCCAACAACTTTTGAATTCTCCTGTCTTGTTCCCTCTGGTTATGCTCCTCCATGGCAATCCAGCCCAGGGAGAAAGCTCAGCTCATTTGTCACCCACTTGCTGTGGGATGTATGGACCTTAGCCATATTACTTGGCTCTTCTGAGCCCCGGTGTCCTCCCCTGATAGGTAAGGACATAAAGCTGTCTCTTTCATGAAGATTAGAGCTAACAATTGAAAGTGTCTTAGGGAGTTCCTGGCACACCATAGAGCTCACTGAGGGCAGGGACTGTGTCTGAAGCATTTTTAGATGTCAGAGACCCAGAAAGGAATTAGCAGACAATGGGCTATGAGAAAATGTGCATACAGAATGTAGAATTTTGGATTTGCAAACAGATTCACTTTAGGTTTATTTGATAGAGAGGGCATGGAGCTGTCTTTTCAGGACCCTTTTCGGAACAACCATTTCAAGAGACCTTTATGTCTAAATAAGCAGAAAAAACTGAAGGTAGGTTGTGTGGGAGAAAGGAGAGGGTAGAGCTGAAGAACACAGATTACTCCTATTCAAAGCAAAACAAATCAATTAATAGGGACTGGATCCTGCCTAATAGTCTCAGTCAAAAAGTTATGCATGTGGATATCCAAGAGAGGGCAATGTAAAAAGATGAGAGAAATATGACAAGATTGGAAGGAAATCAAAGTGACAGGGAGGCTAATCACGGAAGTAGGAGATAAAATCATGACAAGTTCATAATGGGTTTTCAAAATTGAGAAAGACAACTTTGAACTCTGGATTTAGAAGTGAAAAGAAGAAATCAAATATGATTATGTTAGAAATAAACCAGTCATGCATGGACTCTTAGACCATAAACAAAAAGCAGGCTGTTGGTCCAATAAAAATTGAACACACCCAATGAGTTAAGAAGGTGAACATTTTAACAAACAGAACTTGGTCATGGCTTCTAATACAAATTAACCTGAGTTCCTGCAACTGCCTTCTGTATCATGCTTTGATTTAAAATAAATTGAGGGCTCGGTGCCTGTGGCTCAAGTGGCTAAGGCACCAGCCACATACACCTAAGGTGGCGGGTTCGAAGCCAGCCCGGACCTGCCAAGCAACAATGACGGCTGCAACCAAAAAAAAAAAAAAATAGCCGGGTGTTGTGGCGGGCGCCTGTGGTCCCAGCTACTTGGGAGGCTGAGGCAGGAGACTCGCTTGAGCCCAGGAGTTGGAGGTTGCTGTGAGCTGTGAAGCCAGGGCACTCTACCAAGGGGGATAGCTTGAGGCTCTGTCTCAAATAAATAAATAAATAAATAAATTGAGAAGAAAAAGCCAAGCCTTGGTTGTCTGGCTAGGTAGCACCATCTGGCCCACCTGCTCGCCTCTGCTGAGATCTGAACAGACTCTATGTTCTGTTCAGAAATGACTGTAGCCCATGTCAGGTGGGGTCATTTGGGATCAAAGGAGGCAGGAGGATGAGATAGAAACAGAAAAATAGCCATACCGAAGGACAAACAACAACAAGTTCCACCTTTTGCCTGGACTAAGTGAGGATAGATTAAATCAATGTTTTTGTAAGACTGAGTATTAAATTGTAAGAGATAAAGGACTAGTTCATCACTCAGGTCTGAAGAATTGACACCAGTGTTTCCTAGTGTGATACAGTAGAAAAAGCACCAAACACAGTCAAAGGCCTACCCAACTATGTGACCTTGAGAAGCACCTTCACCTCTCTGAGCCTCAACTTTCCTCATCTGGGAAGTGGGGATAATACCCTATAGGGCAGTGGTTCTCAACCTTCCTAATGCCACGACCCTTTAATACAGTTCCTCATGTTGCGGTGACCCCCAACCACAAAATTATTTTCATATGGTTGGCGGTGTCACCACAACATGACGAACTGTATTAAAGGGTTGCGGCATTAGGAAGGTTGAGAACCACTTCTATAGGGCCTTTGTGGAAGTCTTAATGAAATAGGATATGTCAAAGTGCTTTGTGAGCACTCTGTAAATGTAATGTAGCCTTGCTGCTATGGATGGTTATTATCTGGTAATCTTAAACAAGAATCTGCCAGATGTGTACCCATCCCTGTAGCTTGTCTCAGCCTCAGATTTGGAACAAAACACAGCCTTAAAAATAATCAAAAGAATTTGGATATGTGAGGTCCCAAAGCAGGAGGAGAAAGCCTGGCCTCACCTGATGTGCTGAAGCTATTTATAAACCCCAAAGTGACAGCCGTAGGGATGGAAGCCTCAGAACACACCCAGAAAAAGAAGAGAAATGGCATTTTTAAAAGGAAAATTAATTCCCCAGGACAGGCATTTAACAGAAGACTTATCCCCTCCCAAATCCCTGAATTACACTGATGGCTCTCAGAAATGAAAAGGTCTCAGAGGGAAGTATACCTCACTGCATCTAAAACCCCACAATAGGTGGCATGCCTGCTGCTCCCCGAACCTCATCTCCTAGGCCAAAATCAAGACCAACCCCAGCTTTCCGCATATGCTCCAGGGACCTCTGTGGTCTAGGAAATAAAGTGAAGTTCAGTCTGGCTCCTATGGCCCCAAATGACCTGGGTAAAGGCCTCAGGGACCTCACTCTGACCCTTACCCTGTTCCTGCGTCACCCATTACCCCCTCGAAAGACACCCACATTCTTGCCTGCAACTGCCTTCTGTATCATGATGCTCCCTTTCCCCACCTGCACCTCGGCAACAGTCATGAGACAGGTTTCCAGAAAGGCTCCAGTGTAGACCTAGCAGCTGGGGATACTAAGGGAGGAAGCCACGTCCTCCCCCAATGGGGGAAGGCTGCACACAACGACGGTCCGCCACCTTGGACCAGTGCTTCTCAAACTTTTATGGACTTTGAAATCAAGGGGGTGAGATGCATTGGGGTGCTCCATAAAATGCACTCTCCTGCCCTATGAGCTGCAGACTGGGTGTGGCCCAGGAACCGGCATTCTGAACAAGCACCCCCAGTGAACCGGTGCAGGCGGCCCCAGAGGCGGCGCCCTGGAACGTCAGCGAAGTGGCAGCTCCCGACCCCCACCAGCCTCCTCAGAAACCCCTACAAGAACCTCCTCCTCGCACCCCCGCCCACACTCTCCCTCCTGACCCATCCTCTCTCATCTCGCTCCTGACCTCTCCCCCCAAACCCGCCTAGTCCTCCAGGATCCTCGTCATCCCTCACCCCCATCCCCCTTCCGCTGGACCACTTCACCCTGACCTCCAACCTCCCGGCCCCGCCCTCCCGGCCCCGCCCCTGCAGAAACCCCGCCCCCAGGCACGCGCGGACCACCCCCCTCACCGAGACGCGTCTCGCGCGGGGGGTTCTCCATCAGTTTCTTCAGGACCAAGGGGAAGGAGCCTGGCAGGCCCCTTTCCCCAGCTGCGCGCCCTGGCCCCGGGCCTGGCCCGGCCTGCGGCTCCACAGGCGGCTTCTTTCCGCCGCCCGCGTCGGACATCGTGCCCTGAGCCCTGCTCGTGCACCTCACCTCCCCCGCCCGCCCCTCGAGAAGGGCCAGAGCTGTGCGACCCGCTGCAGCTGCCGACACGGGCAGCTACTGCGCAGGCTCTCAGCAGCACCCCCGCCTCCCTCCATCCTTACCCCGCCCGCAGACGGGCTCCGAAATATTAATTATTCATGAGGCCAGGCCTGCTTCCTGGGATCTCGGCTTTGGATTGGACCACCTTCCCGGGCCGTGATTGGCTGGGCAGCCGGGGTGAGCTAGACACGTGCGGGGCCAGGTGAGCAGCCCCAAGCCCCGCCCCGTCCGCTCCTGCGTCTCCTGATTGGTTCCCGCTGGAATCTGTGGCGGTGGTCTCCTCGCCCGCGGCTCCTTCCCCTCTACTAGGTGTGTCCCATTCGCCGCTTTTTGCGAAACCCTCGCCTTCTCTCAGACATCAGCATCCTTTCTCTTCGGTCTCAACCTCGCAACCTTCTGGATGCACCACCGAAGGGAGGTGGGGCTGGGAGCGGACAGGCCGGCCAGGCCAAGCTGCGAACCCGCTCAGCCTGCGTGTACGTCCTCCCGCGGGTCACGTGGAGCCACACCCGAGGCTAGTCGCGTAGGGAGGGGGGAGAGGAGTACGGCGCGGCATTAGCCAATGGAGGGCGGGGGCGGGCCCGGGGCGGCGCACGAGGCGCCGCACGTGCGGGGTTGCGGCGGGGTTGCGGCGGGTTTGGGCGGGCCTGTTGTTCCCGGGATTCTGCCCAGGGTCGTGAGAAGGGGACGCGAGGCCCAGCCCGCACTTGTGTTAGATAGAGAAAGGCTAAACAGGTGACAAGGCAGGTAGAGAAAGTGACTAAGAATAAAGAGCCAAAGTCAATCAGAGTACAAAATCTCCCACAATATCAAATATTTGTGACTAGGGACTTTTCTCTGGTCAGAACATACGCAGTAAAGACCTAGTGACCTTAACTGACCGCGTACTCATTACTATTGTATTGACATTACAGTTTTGACCCCCAGTGGATTTTTTGTAAAAGATTCTGAAAAGGTACATGTGTTTAAAAAAAAAAATCTTACATAATCCCAACCTGTTATATAACCTGTTAGGTAACATTTTATATAACCTCAACTTGTCAATCACCCAAAGGCGGAAAAAACGACAACCAATCCCACCCAGGAGAAAGACGGGACAGACGTGTGAATACAGAGACTGTGTGTACTGTGACTCCGAGGTCTTCTCCACGGGCGGAGAGACCGTCCCTCTCTGAGTACTTTACAGTACATGCTGCGTGCTCTGTGTATCTCTGATCACCCCATCATCAGCTCACCTGGGTACCAGTACCCATTCCTGACACTTGAAAACGGAGCATGGGAACAGTCAAGACAGACCTAACGCTTCTCCCCCACCCAACCCAGAGGTTGCCTGAGGGCAGGGATGGCCACGGGCTTGGCCCCAGCTGAAGGGGGGTGTCGGGTTGCCCACTGATCCAGGCTTCTGGCGTGGGCCTGGCGGCCAGATAAACATTAGCGTGGAGGAAGCATTCTTGAGGCCCAGCCCTGAGCCCGACCTGGGTACACACTTCCGTCCTCCCACTTACTAGCTCATGACCTTGGGAAAGTCCAGTTGCTTCACTTGAGCTTGTTTCCTGGGCCGTAAAATTAAGAGGTTGGGCTGCATAATCCCCACAGTCCCAAACAGCTCTGAAATTGCTCCTTTCTAGGACTTTTCCCTTCCTTTATCTAGAAAAATAACAAATCTTTGACATGAAGGTAAAGATCCCACATCTTTGGGAGAACCACCTCTTCTCATAAAATATAAATACTCCTTGAGAGCTCTTCAGGAAATCTGCAGAAAGGTAAAAATGTGAAAGGGTAGACAGAGGGAAAGACGGTAGGGAAGCTGCTTCTAAACATCACTCAGAACTTTGTACTCTATAATACACATCATAATTGCTTCAAACCCAAACAGTACGGGCCTCTCCGGGTTTACTCCCCGGAGGGCGGAGACTATGCTTGCTTATCCGGTCTCCTCCAATGGCTCAGGGCCTTCTAGTAGTGGGAGTGGGAAAATGGTAGAAGGGCGGTCCTTGGTTCAGGGGTACAGGCCTTCCTGCGAGATACAAGTTGTCCACCTGATGCAATCAGAATTTTGCTGGGAATTGAGGAAGGAAAAGAAGTTGGGTAGCTGAGCAAGCCTGGAAAGCACTCTGGGTAGTGGTTGGGACAGGATGGCAGAGTCTGACTTTAAAATTCAAGTTCTCGCAAATAAATAAATAATAAAATTCAAGTTCTTACTGCCACTCTAATGACTTTGGTCATTTTTTGAATCTCAGGCTTCCAAGTAATGGTTTCACCTCTTTATGCTTCCTTTTCTTTGTATGTCAAGTGGAAAAAGAGCAGGATGAACTTTATGGGGTTTCTGTGAGCATGGTGGCTGACACCTGTAATCCTAGCGCTCTGTGAGAGGCAGGAGGATTGTTTGAGCTCAGGAATTGGAGATCAGCCTGAGGAGTGAGAACCCATCTCTACTAAAAATAGAAAAATAAGCTGGGGTGTTGTGGCTGGCCCTTGTAATCCCAGCTACTTGGGAGGCTGAGGTAGAAGGATTGCTTGAGCCCAGGAGTTTGAGGTTACTGTGAGCCCTGACACCATGGCACTCTACCCTGGGTGATAGAATGAGACTGTCTCAAAAAAAAAAAAAAAAAAAAGGTTGAGGCTCGGTGCCTGTGGCTTAAGCGGCTAAGATGCCAGCCACATATACCTAAGGTGGCAGGTTCAAATCCAGCCTGGACCCGCCAAACAACAATAATGGCTGCAACCAAAAAAAAAATAGCTGGGCGTTGTGGCGGGCGCCTGTGGTCCCAGCTACTTGGGAGGTGGAGGCAGGAGACTCACTTGAGCCCAGGAGTTGGAGGTTGCTGTGAGCAGTGAAGCCATGGCACTTTACCCAGGGGGATAGCTTGAGGCTCTGTCTCAAAAAAAAAAAAAAAGAAGGTTGAAAAAGAAATAGCTAATTTGGCTATGAAGAGATTTGCTGGGTTAGAATTAAGTTGATATTTTGGGGGATTAATATGATATTATTGTAGGGAAAAAATTTTCAATCTAATAGGATGGGATTAATAACAGTAGAAGGTAAGAACATTTGTCTATGACAAAGATGAGATACAGTAAGGGGAAGTAAAGATTTGGATTTTCTTTTTTTAGGCATAGTTATCCAAAATGGATAGGTAACCAACCAAACAAGCGACACTGGTGAGAAGTGAGACTAGCAGGTTAGGGCTTCAAAAGTTAGTTTTGATTCTGTTCTCTGTTCGTGTACTGACACATCCCAGAGAGGGTTTTTCCCCAGGATAACCAAAAAGGAAAGAGTGTGTCACAGATATTGGGGGAGCATTACAAACGTGCCCTCTGTAACTCCAAGCTTGGAGGGTAGCTCATTGCCACTTAGCAGCAGAAAGCACAGTGCTGGGAGTGGAGACCCTCTCTGTTTTCTTCATTCTCGACCTGACCGGAGGAAAGCCACAGCAGCCTCTCTCTCCCACCTCCCATCAGTAAAGTGGGAATAACAGAGTGATCTTGCCTCTCCTCTTAGTGACAGAGTCTTATTTTGTCACCCTTGGTACAGTACTGTGGTGTCATAGGTCACAGCAACCTCAAACTCCTGGCTCAGGTGGTCCTCCTGCCTCAGCCTCCTGAGTAGCTAAGGTGCCCACCACAACACGGGTCTAATTTTAGAGACAGGGTCTCACTCTTCCTCAGTCTGGTCTCAAACATTGTCCCCAGCCCAGAATGGGAGCTCTTGACCAGATATCCCATAATGATCTCTTTGGCTATATATTCAGCATTTAGTAGGACAGTCTCACTCCATCTTCTGACTTCCTGAAAAATGAGACACAGGCCTGGGATGTGTATGGGCAGGATGATGATAAGCCTTCTTTTGAGCTCCAAAAAAACCCAGTTATCTTCTGCCAATACCAAATGCAGGTGCAACATTTTGTTCAGGATTGTACCTCAGTAAATATTTGTTGGCTGGCTTTGTTGGTGGTGCCAGTAGGAGGCTTTATAAAAACTTTTGGAACCAAGTTATGTACATTTAAAGTGTTACTAACATTAAACAACAGTCATAGTGTTTGATTCCCAATTGAATCAGGAATAACAAACATGTACCTTCCTTATGGCAAGTATCCCAGCATTAGCGATGCCAACAACTCTCCTTTCTAGCCCACATACCTGTGGCTGCAAAGTTCTGGGCTCTGTGGTTTGTACCTTGGTCTCAGTGCGTTCCAGGGGAGAAGTGGTAGGTGGAGGGTCTTTACTAAATTCTTGCCCACCTCTTCAATACTCTCAAGAGTACTAGTTTCCTGCTTGACTTGCATTTTGCCCACTCCCTGAGTTCAGAATCCAGATGGAGAGCTGCCCTAAGAGTGTTGTATCCAGGGAGAAGCCCTCACCTCCAGCCTCCATGAAAACGGAACAGCCACTACGTGACAGCCACAGTTTCTCCAGTCCAAGCCTAGAGTAGGGCGTGGGCTCTGGAGCTAGACCAGCGGAGTCAGACACCTGCTTTAAACTGCAGTTGACCCCTGAACAACACAGGTTTTAACTGCTCCAGTCCTTTTTTTTTTTTTTTTTTTTTTGAGATAGAGCCTCAAGCTATTGCCCTGGGTAGAGTATCGTGGCATCACAGCTCACAGCAAAACTCCTGGGCTTAAGCAATTCTTTTGCCTCAGCCTCCCAAGTAGCTGGGACTACAGGACTATGGGCACCCGCTACAACCTCCGACTATTTTTTGGTTATAGTTGTCATTATTGTTTGGCAGGCCCAGGTTGGATTTGAACCCACCAGCTCTGGTGTATGTGGCTGGCACCTTAGCCACTTGAGCTACAGGTGCCACCCTCAAGTCCACTTCTATATGGATTTTTTTTCAATAAAAGTTACACTGAGTGTGCCTGCCTCTTCGGCCTCCCCTTCCACCTCCTCCCCCTTTTTCTGCCTTTGCCACCCTAGAGACAGCAAGACGAGCCCCTCCTGCTCTTCCTCTTCCTCAGCCTACTCAACATGAAGATGGTAAGGATGAAGACAAATGATGAAATACTTCCACTTAGTGAACAGTAAATTGTTTTTTCTTCCTTACAATTTTTGTTTTCTTTTTTTTGAGACAAGAGTCTCGCTCTGTCACCCTGGGAAGGGAGCTGTGGTGTCAGAGCTCATAGCAACTTCAAACTCTTGGGCTCAAGTGATTCTCTTGCCTCAGCATCCTGAGTAGCTGGGATTGTAGGGGCCTGCCATGACACCCGGCTAATTTTTCTATTTTTAGTAGTGATAGGGATCTCACTCTTGCTCAGGCTGGTCTCGAACTCCTCAAGCAATCTAACTCAAACTACCTTGAGATAGCTCAAGCAATCTACCCACCTCAGCCTCCCAAAATTACAGGCATGAGCCACTGTACCTGACTTCTTATGATTTTCTTTTTCCTTTTTTTTTTTTTTTTTGAGACAGGGAGAAAGAGTCTCACTCTGTCACCTGGGCTGGAGTAGAGTGCTATGGAATTAGAGCTCACAGCAACCTCAAAATCTTGGCCTCAAGTGATTCTCTTGCCCCAGCCTCTCTAGTAGCTGGGACTATAGACCCCAGGCAGAATGCCCAGCTTTTATTTATTTATTTATTT